TTCTCTCCCAACCTCCCTCCTGCTTTCGTTCCCTCCCTCCTTCTTTCTCTCTCCTCCCGCACGCGTGGGGGGGGAGGAGGAAGGGTAGGAGGAGGAAGGATCCTTTCCTCCCTCCCTGGCCCCTATCTCCCTATCGTCTCCCTCTTCGCTTCCTCGACTGCCCGCCCTCCTCCGCTTCCGCTGCGTCTGTCTACCTTCTCCCTTCTCCTTGCGACCGGCTTCCTCCTTCCCTCCCTCCCCTTCCTCCCCCTCCCTCTTTCCTTCTGTCGCCGCAGCAGGGTCCACCTCCGCCTTCACAGTCGAAGTCGGGGAATGATTTGTTCCCCTTGCTGCCAGCTCGGCGCCCGCCACCACCGCCTCCTTCCTACCCTCCTTCCCTCCCTCCTTCCTCCCCTCCCCATGCTCCCCTTCCCTGTCTCCGTCCCGTGCCACGTCTTCCCCTGCACTCACACCCGCTGCTGCGGGTGCCAATGAGAGGGACGTGGAGGAAGAAGCGGAGGAGGAGCGCTTCCGACGGCGAGTGCCCCTGTCCTCCCTGTCGCTCCCGTCCTCAGGACTCGTGGGGTGGGAGGAAGAGGGACGAGGGGGTGCGGGAAGGGGGGATGGTACAGGCGTGGTGGAGGAGGAGGAGGAGGAGGGTGAAGAAAGCGCCGTCATGGGGGTTTCCGTTGCTGTGATGCGCGTGGGGAGGTAGAGCAGCCAATAAGGAGGAAGAAAGAAGCCATCAGATCCCCGAGGTCCCTGGGCACTGGTTCTCGTGCCAGAAAAATGGACACAAGTCAAACATTTCTGACCTACTTCCCCCGTCATCCCCCCAGTACCTTCTATGTGACCCCTTACTAAGAATCTTTGGGGATACGCTCCTTGGTTGGAATATAATTCCCTCCCTCAACCGAACCGGGGGCCCTTCCTCCGCAGCTCCTCCCTTCTGCGAGCGCGCGAGTCGGGGCTTTCGAGGCAAATCTCAGGTCGCTTAAATAGACGCGCCCACGACCTGGCCTGCCTCTTTACGTGTGAATTCTGGGCAATTTATCATGTGCTTCCATGCGGCATGACGGCCTGTGAGAGCGAAGAAGGGGAATGAAGAGAGGGCTGAGGATAAATACTGAGAAGCGCCGCACACGAGATTTCCTGCGCTGCACAGACCACAAGAGCCTACAGTGGTAGCGCCGAAATGCCGGGACACGATGCCTGTGCTGACAAACCAGTCACTCTTACTCGTCCACCCCTTCTTTCTGTCACCCGCGCACTTTCACGTCTCGTAGACTTTTCTTCTTTTTTCGCTATCTATAGTTGAGAAACCCGGGCGCGGAGGGGGGCGGCTGAGCTTGATGATGTGATGATCTAGGTACCCAATTTCTCCTTTCGTATGCACGCACTAGAATGCATGTAAAGTATCGCATATTCATCTTATCAAGTGAATCTTTCCTTGTCTTTGCCCTGAATGTGCCATACCCCTCATTCCTAGCTGAGGAAGTGGAAGTACACAAATATCTGGAAAGACCGCCAGATGATATGTGATGGTTTAGCTACCCAATGACGTAGTGATGCTTTTCGTACCGCGCATGGCCACTTCCCTGTGACGCGTGCAGGCCCACGAGCTGCGGACGCGTTGTTTGGAGGTGGTGAGGTCACAGTAGATGCTGCGTCTGTAGTAGTGTGTGGTGGGTCATTTGAAAGGATTGACACCGAAGGCACGAGGAAACGTAGGTCCAACTCGACGACTGATATCTTGGTGGGGGGTCACACGCTACTGACTGAAAGAAAGCCGAGGCCGGTAAAATATGTCAATAACTGCGGTGTCACATCCACTTTGGGGATGGCAATGTCCGGAGAGGGAACATACCGTTGGTGTTTCACAATGTTGAATGATGTTCTGTCACAAAGTCAAATATTTACGTGCATTTTTATAGGCACGCGCGTCTTTGGTTCGGTCTGGCAGAGATGGGCCACGTCCTTAAGCACCCCTGAGAAGGGGGAGAAAAGAAAAGAAAAAGGAACTGAATAAAATTCTTTGGCAAGTCATGTACCTCTGGAACGCAGGTCAAAGTATGGAAGATGGGATACTCGATAATGGCCTTTTTTCCTTTGGATATATCGGTTGAAGTCAGGGGGGAAAAAAAATCGTGCTTTGCATGGGAAGGTTGCTGTTCGAAAGTACTTTATTGATGATCACCTTGTCACCCGACCCTCACGAAGATCTCCTAAGATCTCGATCATGGTACGCAACAGCTGCTCGAAGCACTCGCCCAGTTTAATCCACCATCTGCCTCGTTGTCACTACCATTTTTACATTGATATGGAACATGAAGCCCCTTTATCTGTACAGGTACTGTACTGCTCATACCAGTTTTTCCGCCTCCTCCTCTTCCTCCTCCTCTTCCTCCTCCTCCTCCTCCTCCTCCTCCTCTTCCTCCTCCTCTTCCTCCTCCTCCTC